GGTCTATATAAATGCATACAGGGGTCTATATAAATGAATACCCCTGTAAGATGGAATACCCGCGCGGACAAGTTATGCCGATCTTTTGGCATTTGACCTGGGAATATTTCATCAGTAATTTCAGGCCATGATGGGTTGCAGGTAAACGTAATGAATAGATCCGGGCGCCCATAATGTCTACCGTAAACCAATGCATCTTGAGTTTTCGCATGCATTTAGCCAGGCGGACCAGTGTGGCTCGACGGCAAAATGAGAAGTTGACCGCGAACATCATTATTACTACCATCACTAAGCACATTGTCTCCTAGGTGGATGTAGTTGTCCACGCGAATTTCCTTCTGGTGAGTGCGAAAATAACAAAGCCGTTCTGCTTCCGTTTTGGCAAACATATCAACGGCAAATTGAAGAAATAACGTTTTGAATCTTCTATGTAGGCTGTAAGTTCGTTCTCGGATCATAAAATGATATGCGTAGAAAGCTTTACAACTGACTGCTTTATTGGTGCCAATTTGAAGTCGTTTATTGATATCAAAAGCAAAGATTCTCCAAGATGCTTCATTACTGCTGATGTATCTGCCCATTTAATACTGGGTAATCTCATCATTGTTTTTACGGCGGTTGAGGGAATACAGTGCAATTCTATTGGCCTCGGTACACTCATCTCAAATAATAGCTGAGCACCGTTTCAACAATTCAGATGTGCCCCTACCTCTACTTCCTTGGCATGTTGCGGTACCACCATCTGGCAACCTCAGAGAAATCTTGAAGGTACTGTGAGCAGTTTGCCTCCAGGAAGTAACGTCGCTGGTATACCAGCCGATGCAACAGCCAAAACAATTTCACTTCGTTTGCTCAGTTCAGCCAAATCAACTTAGTGACGAAAGTTTACCAGTTCCACCAGGCGCATCCATAAAGAAAACGTGGTCGCTATTACGGTGGTTGTAGACGACGATTGGAAGAATCGTGTTTTTTTTCCCACTGTCTACTCTGCATTGCGACATCTCGAGTTGGCTGGAAAAGGAATTTGTATGGCTTGGCACT